TCTGTAGCTTCTTAATGTTTCCCACTGTGGGCTTCAGGCTCCTCATGTACCAAAGCCTGTGATGAGACTCTGCTTTCTGAAGGGTGACATTAGCATCCCCCTGCCTCAGCACACACACAGTGTGGGAGCCACAAACGTATATTCCCACGGGCCTGCGTGCCGTGGGGAACAGCACAAGAAGGGATGGATATGTGGAATCTGTTTCCTAGGTGGTACAGAATTATCATCTAGCCATACAGAGTGGGTGACAGTGTCAGAGTTGGATGTCCAGGCCCCAGGTCTGGTGGTGTGAGGTTGTTTTTTTTCTTTTTTCTTTTTTTTTTTTTTTTTTTTTTTTTCACCAGGGATTGAACTCCAGACTTTGCACTTGCCAGGCAGGAACTTATGCCACTGAGCTATCTCCCCGAGTTTTGGGAATCTGCGTTCCATGGCAGCATCCATCAGACCTGACACTGTGCAGTCTAGGGTTGTTTCAGACTTGGCCTCCTGGTTTCCAGGCCATGGGCTGCCCTAGGATGTTTGGAGACTGGGTGCTCATTAGACAAAGGCGCACTTCTGAGACGATGTACTGCCATCTGCTGGCAACTGTTATAATATGCACATTTATTGTCTAACAAATACACAAAACTGTGTGAATGACATTCCAGGAAATGGAATGGTGCACATGAGTGTGTAGCCTGCACAACTAATCTTGGTGGCTCTCCAAGCTGGACTCTCTGGTCCTATAGAAATTCTATGAGAGCTTTAATCTGCTTGAAAATATAACTCCTCCTTAAGCTGACATTTGCCTAGGAATTCTGGCTGATGCAAATGGGTTATAATGATCCATTTCCAGAAAGGACAAGACCTAGGTGATGGATGGATGGAAGAGTCCCTGGAGAAGGCTCAGCGCACCTACCACACCCAGAGGGTCAGGGTTTTTTGTATTAATTTTTAGAGGAACACGGGAAAGGGGTCTTCCTCATGACCTAACCCTACTGGTTTATTCTTTTGTTTTTGTGGACAGGGTCGGAGTTCACGGTTAAAGTGAGGAGCAACAGGATGAAAATGAAAGTGTTGTAAATGCGATAAATATTCCAGTAGGGAGGCTCGGGGGAGATGGCCCTGCCATGTCTGGCTCAGCAGCACTGCATCTCCTAGTGTTACCAGGAGAGATGGCATCAACCTGGGCATCATTTGTCTGATGACTGGCTAGGCTGGGGGTGTCTGGCTGCAGACAAAGTGCTCAGTTTCCCAGTTTTCCTGGAGAGCTATGAATGGTTTGGCCCTGCTGCATAAGAGCCTTTCTGGGCTGATTTCTGGTTCAGGTCCCTTGGGCAGCAGTGCTCCATGTCCCCACAGCAGCTCCCCTGTTGTGTGTAGTCACAAAGGGGAAAGGGCCAGGAGGTCTCCAGGGAGTTCTTCCATCAATCTAGGCCATTCACTCCTCAGCCTTCTGACCCAGAGGAGGGAAGCAAACTGTCTGTCTGCTCCCTGCATGCACAGTCTCCTCCTGAGCCAGTAGTGGGCTGGGGGGTTAACGGGCCAGCCACTGATGCTGTGCTGGTCTCCTTGGCCCCAAAGAGCTGTCCTTGCTTGTTGTTGGGGGTCCAAGGTCTGTGGCTGGGCTCAGTGTGAACAAGGGGCAGGGATGGCAGGGAGGGGGAGCCCAAGAGCTGTCAGGTCTCTTCTGGAGGCAGGCTGGGAGTAGGAAGGTAAAGGGCAGAGGGGCACCCACAAAGTGGGGTCGGCTGGGCTCAGCTGGGAGAAAGTAGGACACAGGAGGGGTGGTTGGAAGTCAAGATGGCATTGGTTACAAACTTCTCTGATTCTAAAATTTATCCCATGACATCCCGGCTTTCTGATGCTCAGCAACAGTGTCAGGTTCATTTATGGTTTTCTTAGTGTCTGAAGGACTTGGTTTGGAAGGACCCTGGCAAGAGTCTCACATTCCCAGGCCCAGCCCCATCTGGCACTCTGGAGAGACTGTCCCTACCGTGTCCTTCTCTGACAGTGCCCCCCCCATGGTCCCCCGCCTGCTCCTATGCTAGCTGAGCTCAAAGGACCCTCAGGAGGTCATCAGACAGGGCTCTGGGAGGAGGAGGAAGTGGTAGCGAAGAGGCTGGCAGGAGGACTCCTTGCTGCTAGGACGAGGGTGAGCTCCGGGGCCACGTTTTCCTGTGGGCTGGAAAGCAGGCAGCCTCAGTTTCTGTCAGCTCATGCTTCTCTGGTTGCTCACTACGAGCTTTAAATGAGTGCAGGGGCCTTCTCTACAGAGCCCCTTTTTCTGGCCCCACTTGCAGTAGGCCACCAGAGAGGGTGAGGAGGGAAGGGCACACTGTGCTGGGCCACCAAGTTGGCTTGTGAACTTGTCTCAACTCTTCTTGTCACTACTCTCTTGGCAGACCTCCTGCAGGCAGAAAGGTACTGTGTGCCTTTCGCAGAGCAGAGAAGAGGGACGTGTGGGGTCATCTAGAAAGCAAGCCCTCCCTCCTTTCTGTGCAGGAACCTATCCTGCAGCATTCTTAAAAGACTGAGCCCTTCTCATGGTCAAGAGCTCACCCCTTTCCAAGGGACCATGCTCTGCTCTAGGGCAGCTCTAGATGTTAGGAAGTCATCCACCTTGTTTGGATACTGGTTGCCTCCTGGAATCTCTTTGTTGTTGGGTTGGGTTTGGCTAAATCCTTAGTATAGTCCTTCTATCTTCCATCGTATGTGGAGAGGCCCTGGGCTCTGTTTTAGTGTGTGCCATAGTCTTCCTCTCCAGGGCCACCACCACCCTTTCCTTTCTCTGAAGGTCCTTTGTTGTTCATACCCCAACTCCCTTAGCATCTTAGGTCCACATCTGGGGACCTCCATAGAATTCCCACCTGGCTGGGGCTAAAAGATTTTATTCCCATGAGTTTAGGAGCAGCCAGATGTAGAGGCTCTCTGGGTCCAGTTCCTCCCCTCTTGCCCATCTTTAGCCTACCCTTCAGTGGGCATGGGCCCCCGGACAAGGACCAAAGCAGCCCTGAAAGTCTGCGCCAGTGGAGTCTAGTGGCCTTGTGCTCTTGCAGCAGGCTGTACCCACACCCAGCCATAAGCCATGCGCTGGGGCCTCTCAAAGCTGCAGGGTCACCAATAGAACATTCTGGTATCACTAGAAGGTTCTGGAAAAGCCAGCCACTTTACCTGGCAAGTAGTTTAAGACATTCTTTTATATGAAGATAAATGCATATGTGTTATGTAATAGAATACAGACACATGAAGTTCAAAACCACAACAGGCTACTTCAAAGGAGCACGGTCCTATAGGAAGGTCACTTCAGGCTCTTTCTTTAGATTTCAGCCCCCCAGTCAGCCAACTGGCTGGGTCCTCTGCTGAGGGATGCTTGGATGGAGCAGCTGGAATTCCTGTAGTGCAAGAGGTCAGGAAAGAGAGGACCAGAGCGGAGAACTGGATAACTGAGCGCACACAGCTCAGAGGAACCCGGATTTAGAATCCAGATCTGTCCTTTTCTGTGCACCAAGAAATGCTGCACACAAAGTACCTACTGCAGGAAGAAAGGACTTGAAAACAGAAAGGAGGCTCTAGGTTAGCCCTTGTTATCCAGAAAATGCCGTCCAAAGAACAATTTGTCTCCTCAGTGTTTCCTTTGGGTCTATGCTTTCAACAGAGTGAAGCCCATTCAAGGAGAAGTATATTTCTTTACCTCCTCCAAGACCTAGTATTCTATGGTTGGATAGAAGTTCAGGTGACCCAAGGAAGAGAAGCCCAGCTCCATACCAAGGATGACAAGAGGCCAGCGTGGCAGCATGGTGAGCTTGGGCACCAGGCCAGAGAACTGGTACAAAACGGGCTGTGCTGACATAGCCAGCAGCCTGGGCCTTCCTGTGCTCACACACCCTAGGTTGCACCTGGGCATGTGCCTGTATGCACACACACACACACACACACACATGCACACACACGTGTGTGCACATATGCGCATACACACACGCACACACACTCGCAGACGTCCACCCGCTTACCATTATGCAGTGCCTCACAAAGCTGCCTCACTCCACCCAACATGCAGAGCCACCTGGAATGTGACGGGGGGGGGGGTGTTTCACGCTGAGCCTGGAGCTCAGCAGCCAGAGCTGCTTTGACTCAATGTCCTCCTGGTGATCAGAGAAGATCAAAAGTGTCTTTGAGATGATTTGAAATGTACGACACCCAATGGTGTGCACCCAACGCACCGAACTTCTACAGATAGGCTCGGTGCTGCCCTGGGAGTGTCCAGCGGTGACACCTCATAGAACTGCAACTCTCAGTATGATTTAATCAAGTCAATTAATACTGTTTAATAAATAGGCCAGAAAATTAGCTGGGAGTTTCTTGGCAGGATGCTGCGTGCGACCAAAGTTATGGAAGATTGTCCCTTGAATCACTAAGGCAGACTTTGTTGAGTGTCATTTTACATAGAGCAATCACATAAAAAGAGTTATAAATAGAAAAAAATCCAGTTTTCTGACAGACAGACAGGAAAATCAGGAATATCAAAAAGAAAACGCAAACAAAATAAAACAGCCACCCCTCCCCCCCGCACCCCCTTTGCTTCAAGTTCTTGATCATACAGTGCTCAGCATCTTTGGATATTTTACAATGTACAACTCCAAACTGCAGCCAAGTAAAAACAAGAAGTACTAACCAGTCATCTGAAAAACGGAGTTTATAAGAAGTCATTAGCTTTACAAAATAAAAACAAAAGCCCCAACACCACTGGATTCCACTTTGTTCATTTTCTTCTTGTAAGTTGAGATCAGCCCCAGCCCCCTGGCAATGTGGAACTTGGGCACAGCAGCTGGTGGGTTCCAGATGCAAGTGTTTGAAATGGAGACAAGAATCTAAGAGGTGGCCACCCAGGCAGGTGACCACAGGGGGTGTCTGGAGGTTTCCACCGGGCTGAAATGGCATCTGGTGACATGGGGACTCAGGGAATCTCTTCTGGGGAGCTGTGAGGGGAACAGAGTCTGTGGTCTTCTCTGGCCTTTTTGTTTTTTTGTGTTTGCTCAGGAAAATAAGCCAAGGCAAAAAGAAGAGCCAAGCTCTTGTGCCACAGCATGGGGACTGGGGACTCTGGTTCCGGGCTCTCTGGGCAGGTGCACTTTTCTCTCCTGGATACTGAGCAGTCAAAGCAGACTGAGATAGGAAAAGGAGGGAGGGAAGGAAAGAGGAGCACAGCTAGGAGGCCTGGGCCACAGAGCTGCTTCCTTCTCAGGACCTGCTGCCATCAGCCTCAGACTAGGATGGCATATGTCCTAAGCCTTGAGGCTCTGTAAACCCCAAGCCTCTGCCCCACACTGAGCCCTTCTGCCCAGAGAGAAGCCAAATACTGGAACTTCATCCCCAGAGGGTGGAAGGAAGGGCTGGAAAGAGGCTGGAACACTGGAAAGGAGATGACCACCATGAAGGTTGGGTCCTGCAGGAACCTGTATCTTGAGAAACAAACAGGTGAAGCCCCAGTAGCTAGGTGCTTTGTCTAGGCTTGGGAGTCAGTCAAGTGTCTGGCCTTGTTCCTTTGATACTGGCCCCAGGAACCCCAAGAGACTCTGTACAGCATTGAAGAGGGCATTGGTGAGGGGGGCAAACACTGATGAGTGTTCCCAGGGATGTAGACCAAACAGAGCTTGCAGAAAGTGGGGCAGCATGGAGTCCTCCGGGTCTGCCTGTGGGCCCTGGATAAGGAGTGACACCCACCCCATATGCACCCCCTCATCTAGTTTGGTCAAATTTCTTGAGTGGGCTAATATCTTAAGGTGGAGATAGAAATAATAAAACCAAATACTCAGTAAGAGAAACTTGTCCAGGAAAATGGGGGTGCAAAGTTCCTACTGCTCCAGGATGCTCTGTAGAGGACAGACATATGTAGGTGCAGGGGCCAGGGGAGGGGACCCTAAATTACCAAACCCCTTCATAGTAGTTGACATAGAGGCACAGAGGGCTGATGTGTTCAAACTCACAGGACAGGTAAGGGAAACATAGACCTGCACTCCAGGGAATGGCTCCTTGTCCGCAGATGTCTCATGGTCAATGGGACCACTTTCTATGTGGCAGATGGTCACTGCACTGAAGGACCCCAGACCTCAGGGCACTGGAAGATGAGCCCCAGAGCAGTGAGGGAAGGAATTCCTATGGGACAGTGGGACTCAACTAAGCTGTGTGCCCAAGACTCCACTCTTGTTCTTCCTCCATCCTGCCTACTCCAAGAGGAACAACCCTCTCCGTACAGACCCAAGGGCTCCAAGCTGCTCTGGGTACCAGCATATGGCCCTCTGCTGTGGCCTGGGTACTGTAAATTTCTATGTGAGACAGAGAGACAACCAGAGACAGGAGGCCTCAGGCTCCAGGCCCATGGGGAGGTGGTGCCCATCTCTGACACCAGTAAAAGGGAGGTGCTGAAAATACCATGGCTGCAAATATGTACTGGTTCACTTCCCCTTGTATTTGTAAAATGTGAAGTTCACAGCCACTATTTGGGGCAGCTCAGGCATGGTAAGGGGGTCAGGGCTGGTGGGCCAGGTCTCCCAGGGCCGGCCTAGTTGTTGGCTTCAGACATGGAGGCCACGTGGTTGAGGCCGGTGAGCCCAGGGAGGCTGGCCAAGCCTGCAGCCCAGGGATCAGGGAGTGGGAAGTAGGGCCGCGCGGCAGCTACATTTTCAGCCAGCGCGAAGGCCAAGAGGCCCCCAGCATTCCTCTCGGCCTCCAGCTGTGCACGCCCAAACAGCTTCATCTGTGTCTCCTCGAACTGGCGCTCGAGCTCTTGCAGGCTCAGGGCGCCCTTGGGCGCCGTCAGGAAGTGCTTGGCGGGGCTGGGCCCTGGGAGGCACACGGCTGCACTGCCCAGGTGGCCGCCCACCTCGCCCAGTGCAGGAGGCATTACGAAGGCCGCCTTCTCCGGTGCGGGGCCACCGGGCCCGAAGAGCAGGCTGGCGGCTCTCCAGGCGGCGGGCTTGCGGCCACGCCGGGGCCTGGCCATGCGGCAGCTCTGGCGCTTGATGTGGCGATGCAGGTGGTCGGAGCGTGTGAAGCTCTTGTAGCAGAACTCGCACTGGTAGGGCCGCACCCCGGTGTGGATGCGCATGTGATTCTTGAGGTCGTAGTTGTGCACGAACTTGGCGCTGCAGTGAATGCACAAGTAGGGCCGCTCACCGGTGTGCTTCCTCATGTGGATCTTCAGCTTATCCTGCCTGCGGTACAAAAGGTAGGAATTACTTCCCGCAGGACCGGCTGGGAGCCACTTCTCAGCCAGTGCTCCCCTTGGTGTAGTGTCAAACTCAGAAGTACAGCCATGCTGGGATCCACCTTCAACCTTTGTCCTAAATATCTGCCCCATCTTAAGCAGGTACTTATCTAAATTAGAAGGAAATGGGAAGGATCAATGGCATAGAAGACCACTTCCTCTGGTGGAACTCCTTCTACACACAAACTCACATTACTGACTCTCCCATTGCTTATCGGGGCCTGCCTGTCTCACATAATAGAACATTTTGGGGAGATATGTCCCCTCAAATCAGCATTCTGGCTTGAGTGTTCTCATGGTGCAGCGACCTCTGCAGGTACCAGACTGCATTTTAATCTTTCACCCTGCTTTCCAGGCCACAGTCTGGTCTCTGGGCCCATCTTATGTGCTTTTTCCACAGCCCCTGGTCCCTTCCCAGGGCCCCAGCTGTTGCAATCTGTCCTCCACAACTAATCTGGGAGTCTATAGAAGCCAAGGCACACCTTGTTCAAGTCTCCTGCCCTGCGGTTTCTTATCCTAAGCCCTTGGCTCTCTCCTCTTTGTTTTTAGAAAATTTCAGGGTTTACAAAAGAGCCAGGTGCAACAAGAATGCAGGGTAATCTAAGGCAAAGCTTCTCCGGGTTTAGAGTATTATTCAGAGATAAGTCACAGTATAGTTGGGGCCCCTAGCCCCTGCTCCAGCTGCAGACCCACCACCAGCTTGCTGGGTGATCTTAAGTAGGTTATGAAATCCCTCTGCACAGAGCTGACTTAGGGCTGGACATCAATCCCCACTGTCCAGGGTTACTGAAGAGGGTTGGCTTTGTGTGAACAAGGGACAACACATGCTGTTCTGGGCTTGAAAGGAAAACTGACATCCTGGGTTTCTTGTCCTGAGAACTATGCACTCAGCAAACCAGTTTAAGGAGGCATTCAGCTTGGCTGTGGCGGCAGCAGCTGGGAGCACAGTTCTGGATTATTGTGCAGCGTTCTCTAGCTGGCCAGAGGTTGCCTCCTCCCCGCAGGTATGGCTTGGGTGGGGCCTCTGCCTACAATTTCAGGCTGAGCTTTGAGGTCAACGCAAGGGTTCTCCCTAAAATGGCCAGATTTCAACTATGCTCCGCCTAAGCCCAGACAGCAGGAGCAGCCCTCGCGTCTCCTGGCCACTAGAGGGCTCTCGGGCTCTCAGTTTCAAAGTGGTCTCTTGGGAGAAAAGGACTATCATCTTGTGAACTCTGGAAGGGTAGAAAGAGAGGGCAGAGCCAGCCCTCCCACCTGTGCCTGTTCCCCCCAGCTGTGGGATTCCTGGGAGGTGGGGAGGAAGGGAGCAGGACGGCTTGGGTGGGAGGGTTCTGCCTGCTGCCTGCAGCTGGCTGTTTTCCTTGCACCAGGCTGTCTTGTGTACAGCCCACAGCCTTTCCTGTGGTGACATCCCCCTCCCCAGCAGCCTGCACCCTGGGTGTAGCCCAGAACATTGAAAGTTTGAGCAGGTCGGGCCTTAGAGAGCATCAGGCCGGCGGCTCTCAAACTTCGAGTGTTGCATGAGCACTGAGCGTACGCTGAAGACTTGTTATCACCGAGTGCTGGGCCCCTTCCAGAGCCCCTGGGTAAGAGGGAGCCAGAAAACTGCCTTTCTAACAAGCTGCCGGGTGCTAGTCCACAGGCCCGGCCTTGTGGGGCTTGTCAAATCTTTCATGCTTTGGGTGGGCAAAGTGAGGCCCAGTGAGGAGAACTTGCCAAGGTCACCCAGAGGGTAACAGCAGAGCTGAGCGTAGAACCTGGGCCTGGGAGTCTGGACCTCTTTCTCGCCACTGTACTGTGACCTGTACACAAAAATGGGGTGGGATGAGCAGGGCCATTTGTAGCCCTATCAGGATGCTACTTTACAGCTTTGAGGAATATGCTTTGCGCTCTACAGGCTCTGGTGGCGGCACTAACGCTAGGTGGGCAGCTAGCCTCACTCCCTGGGCCTAAGACCCACTCTCTTTCTCAGCAGGGTCAGGGAGAGGGCTCAGCCCAGAGTCCTCAGTGAAGGAAGAGTCACTGTTTCACTTAACCCTCACTGCAACCTTAAGAAACACACACACGCATGCACGCACGCACGCATGGAGAAAGCTTGAGAGATGATATTTTTTAAAGTACTATTATACGTAGTTAACACTATTGCAGTATCAATCCTTTGGATCACTCTCAAACATAAGCAATGCCATTGCTGAATCTTTAAATGTCAAGGGCCTCCCTATAAATATCTACAACTTCTCCCAAAAGCCTCTAATATTAGGGCATCTCAAATTAATCTCGCCTCAGTGGCAGTGGCCCACAGCCTAAGAAGTGCTAAGAAGGGGTCTTATCATCATGTGGTTGGGTAAGTGGTCTGGGCTGGTAATACACTATTTCAGAGACCCAGGAAGGTTGCTCTTCAGAGGCAGAGTATGGTTGGGGCTAGAACCCTAGGCAGGAGAAAGGGAGGATTTCCCACTGAGGACTCCTCACCTGCAGCCTCTGTGGGCTGCTTCAGCAAGTGCATGCAGAACCAACTCAAAGAGGGAACTGCGAGCAGAAGGACTCAGTTCTGGGCAGAGCTGAGATTCACAGGAGCAGGGTGAGAGTGGAGAGAGTGGGCAAACTGTATGACAAGCAAGTCTGGAAGCAACCACTAGAGGTCAGGTAGTGACCTCTGGGACTCAGAGTTTAAGGGGGCTGGCCAACCACCTGAGTCATTAGCAGTGCACTTCCTAGGTCCTTGAAAATGCTGTAGAATCTAGTTCTCCCACTTACAAGATGAGGAAAGCAAGGACCAGAGAAGGCCAGCATTCTAAGGCCACACGGCCTCCTCCTTAATCCATGACCTCTTCATCTGGGTGTCATGACATGTGTACTGCAAGGTGGGCCTGTGCTAGGCATGCTCTAAAGTCCTGGACCCGGTCCCTTCATTGTCTGGGGCCTCAGTGCCTTGCTTGCTAAAATGGGGTGGACTGCACCATTTGCCCTCTGCTTTTCAAAGGATATTTCATCCAGTAACAACCTTGCACTATTTCTTTCCCATCCTGTTTTGGCTGGCCAGCTTTGTGCATGATGGCTCTTCTCCCTTTTCTCTTCATAAATTTGGTCTGCTCGAGGAAGCAGCATGAGGTTGGGTGGAATATTCTAGAGTTTAAATCTCTTAGTCCCTTCCTGAAAGGTCTAGGGGGGTTAGAGGTCTAGGGGTTCCAATTAAAATCTCCTTAAGCACCTCCATCCACTGGCCTCTATACTAACTCATCCCTTAGGTGGCTTTCAAGGCATTTTATAAGCTTTCCCCACTCTATGTTGCAGCACGCCCCATGGAACCCATGGGCCACTCCTGCTCTGGGCAGCTTTGCTTCTCTGGACATCTGGTGGTAGAATTGGGCTATCCATCCTTGTCTCACGCAGTCATCCAGGTCCCTGACCTTCCAGACTTTTGTGACATGAACACTGCCCCTGAAGGCAGGTCAAGGGGGAACAACAACAGAAGACAAGGTGTTGTCTCCTGTGCCCTAATGATTCTATGTGGTTTAGCATTACCTTCTCAGCAGCTCAGGTGCTGAGGGGGAACCAGACTTTCCATCTGTATTGTCTGTGGCCCCTGCTAAGACCTCCAGGAGCTCCTGGTAGGTAACAACACCTTTCTGAGGCGACTCTGGCCAGAGCCACCCTTCCTTTCCATATGTGTACTATGGCCAGTACAAGGCTCATTGTGTGTGCATGCACACAAATCATGGCTCCTGGAGCACGGCTTGTTAGTGTAGATGACATGGTAATATGTGAGACAGAAAATTCATGGGCAGAAAGCAGGAATCCCTATTGGATGCAGAAAAGGGACCCAACATCATGGACATTCCTCTCAGCACTCACCATCAGCAATGCTCAAGGGCATTCTGCCTGAGCTCTCTGGAGTCCCTAAAGTTACCATCCTTCTTATGAGGAAACTGAGGCAGAGATACAGTAGTAAGTTCACAGATTCCTTTGCTGTGGGAAGTATAGCATGAAATGGAAGCAACCTCAAGGAAGGCCTGCTCTCTTCTCTCTAGTGGCACCTGGGAAGCTGAGGCCCAGAGGGAGCCAGGTCACACAGCCAGGCACAGACAGAACCAGGCTCTGAACCTGAGCCTCCTGTTGGCCACCCAGTGCTCTTTCCAAGGTGCCATGAGCCACCAAAAGCTGTGGAGCCTGCCTCCAGCCATTCAGTGATGGCTGTCCAACTGGGGAGGCAGTGGCACCTGCTTTGAGACACACCTGGTGGACACCTGTGGACATGCTTTTTGTATTCTGCAAGTGTACCACACTGCCAGTAGGTAGAAAGAGTGCTCCTGGTGAGCTTGCTGACTAATGACCAGGGCTAATTTTGGAACTGCAAATAGGACGCCTCCTCTCGGGTCCTAATTCCCCTTATCTGTCACTTCATTCCATTTCCTTGTGTCAGAGACCCAGCCAAAGACACAGGCACTCAAGCCTGATGTCAGGGCCCCTTCTGAGTTGGAGGGGTCCATGGTCAGGAAAGATGTTCAAATCTTCATGAGGACCAGGCTCATTGTGTACGGGTGGGAGGAGAGGACTGTGGGCCTGAGCTCGGGCATTTGCTTTTAGCAAGGCTCCCAGTCAAGTGCCTCCCAGCACCATCCACTCAGACGCCCAGGGGTGATGATCTGAAGCCATCTCTATTTGTGCTGCTATGCTAAAGACACAATAGTGTCTTAATAATGTACCCAAAACTATGGGAAGGGCAGTGTGGGGACAAAAGACAGGCGAGGGAGGGCACTGGATGATGGTCTTTGGAGAGCAGACATGTCAGGGAGGGCCCATTAGCTTTGGGTTGGTGCTCAGTGAAGGTTGAGCACATGACACTAAAAATTGTAGCCTTTGAGGATGCTGATAGCAGATTCTACAAACACTGGTGACATCGCAGATTATCACTAGTAAGTTCCTAGGGAGCAGAGGCTGGCCATCTTGGGGAATGTCCACCCTTCATGGCACCTCTGTTGCTCGGGACCAATCTTGCTCTTTTTTCCTTTTTTTTTTTTGCCCATCAGACATGGATGGGACCCCTGTGTGAGCCAGGCTGTGGGTGGCATGCAGGGGCTGAGCAGGGAGACCCCCTACCCTTCCCTTCTAGGAGCTCCCTACAGAGGGGTTTGTTGTGTCAGGCAGGTCCCCATGGCTTATGATCAAGGTCTCATGTGGGGGGAAGTGAAGGAGGTGGGGCCCAGTTGGCAGCAAAAATGGTACACAGGGCCCACTGCTGTGTCCAGTGGTAAGGAAATGCCCACCAAGTTCTTGTCCTTCCTGGTCACATGTTCCTCATCCTTTAGGACCCTTCTTATGTGTTAAATCTGACAGGCCCCTGCAGCCCATCTTTGGTCTCCTCCTGCAAAGGGGTCTGGGAATTCCAGGTCAGAGAAGCAGCTACTGCTGCTAAAGAATGTCAGGGTGGGGAGGAAGTGGAAAGGTGTTACAGATAGTAACTGGGGACTCAGCCAAAGAGCAGGTCCCCATGGAAACACTGCAAGTGGACTTGGCTAAGGAAAGAGTTATAGGAAAAATCTCATCCTGCACAGGTCAGGGTCGGGGCTGTTGGAGGATGGGAAAGAATCCTCACTGGGCAGCCCTGGAAAGGGCACAGGAAGCACAGGACCAGTGATTCTGAAGAATGTGGTGGGAGTGTTCAGCAGGGACAGCCATAGTTCATAGTGAGAAATGGAGCCCCTGATGGGAGGTGGGCCAGCAAGTATCCACCCTTCCTGTCCCCTGTCCCTGGCCTTTGTGTGCTCCGGAGAGGATGGCCCAAGCTCCGGAGAGCTTGTCTGATCTTCTTTCACAGGGTCAGAGCCCAGTGGGAACCAAGTGAGGGGAGGTGTGGTGGGAGCTGGGTCACAGCTGCTGAGATGCCTGGGGGCCCAGATGGCTATCACCCTGCTGAGCAGGAGTCACCCGAGGGCAGGCAGGACAGATGGATAAGAGGCTGGAACTGCCCGGGGGCTGATCTGGCCTGGAGGTGAAGGGACATAGCAAACAGAGGCCACCCTATCAGACCATCAGGAATAGGCTGGGAGGGATTATTCTGGAATGTCACCCTCCTATATAAAATTGCATCATGCTGCCCAAACCAGAAGGCCTATTCTCAGGGGTTATACCAGTGTCCAGAGGGCAAGAAATCTGTCTGTAGTTATAGGCCAAGTTTAAAGCTTTTCCAGTGGGGCTCACAGACTAGCCAGACCTGTGTGAACCTCACAGAGGGCTGGTGTGGGGAAGACTTAGAAGGGAGGAAGGGAGAAGGGGAGTCAGGTGCCAGCTGGTTCACTGTGATACTAAGATGCATATGCTATTGAAGCTACTGGTCTGAGCCCCCCTGAAAAAGGAGTGGTGGTCCCAGTGGCAGCCATCTGCCAAGGGACAGGTATGGAGGTTCTGGGAAGAGGGGCCCAGCTAGGCAGGAGAGGGTGCTCTGGGCTGACATAGCTACTGGCTTTCCTGGTTCTGGCCTGAGTCTCTGGGGTCAGTGGCAGAGGGCTGGGAGACCCAGATGGGGCAACGCCCCTGCCGAGGATGGGTGCACTCCACTTGAACTCTGCCATCACCTGCAGGCTGGCTTATGCCCCTACCTTCCTGTGTCTCGGTTGAGTCTTTTTCAAGTATTCTAGCCAAGCCCTGTGTGGTATTCAGGGTGCCACCCAAGATGGCATTAGCATGTATGGCTGTTTTTGAGGGACACCTAAGGGGAGTGGTTCTCAAGAACTTAGGGGGCAGCTGCTCTGTGAAAGAGCAAGACCAGAATGCCCTGAGCTTAGCATGCCAGGTGGCTTACTGCTAAGAAGGGGACACGTTGGGGTCTGGGAGTTTTGCCTCTCCCCTGCACCTACAGATCCTCTCTTTGCTGCCAGCTGGAGGCATCTGTGGCAATTCTGCTTGGGGACCTATGGAAGCAGCTGCAAGGAGGACTCCACAGTCACTGTGGGAGCCCCAAGTGTTTCCTTCAAATAAGCCACCTGGGGAGAACACAGAGCTACCTCAGTAATGCCACTGCCACTTGAAAGTGTTTCTGAAACCTTCTCTGGACAACTTCCCTGTCCTCCACCCAAGAAGGCAGGTTATAACTGCTTAGAGGGCTCACCTTGCTATTCCTGGCGAAGTGGAGTCCCTGATTTGATATTCAACTGATTAAAAATTTTACTCCACCTACAAAGGCCAAAGCCTTGGGCCCATTGAAGGCAAATCCAAAGAATGAGCCTCCAGAAATCCCCAAAGTAAATTTCCAAGAGGATTTAAGGTGATAGCGCATGGTTAGAACAAGTTGGGGCTTTTCAAGGCAAGTTCTTTGAGGGGACAGTGGCAGTAGGGAAAGGACCTAGTCTTATAGGGCATGACTACAGCTATCACCAGGCTCTGTCCACATCCAGCACATGAAATGACTAGACACTGATGCAAGGCCATCCACCCGACCTTTTTCCCCACTGTGGATCGCTAGAGACCAAGGGCCACAGATGGCACCATCAGGTCATATTTTCCAAAGACGGAGGTCTTTCAAAAATCTATCAGCAGACGTCTCTGATCCCACATCATCCCCCTATCAGTTTTGACTACAAAAGTTGCTGCCCAGGGAAGGTGCATAACACATATCTGCAGAGTGGGATGGTGTCTCTGAAGAAGTCTGTCACACATTCCTTTCAAAGTTTAGAATACTTATCCTTCTTCCTACCATGGACTGGCAAGGGGGAAAATGGAAAAGGAAGCCCATCCCTTAAGGGAGTGGAAGGGGTCTACAGGGATCTCTCCGGACTTGGCCATCCACACGGACCGAGATCTAAGTCCGGGCTCTGCCGCTGTCCAGAGCTGCACTTACCAGTGGCCAGGCTGCCACTGGGAGCCGGCTGCAAACAAAGGCAGCAGTGCTTCGCCATCCTTCCTGGCTTTCAGCACGCAGATCCTGCTTCATCAAGGGTAGCTGCTGCTTCTCCCAACAAAGCAGGGCTGTACTCCACGGGGAGCCTCCAACTGGCTCCCTGGATACCCAGTGGGGCAGATGCCAGGGAGGCCGTGTGGACGAGGCGGTGAGGCCCCTCAGCTCAGGCTCATGAGAAGAGCTCTGCTGGGAGCTCTCTTAAAAGGGCTTCCTTTAGCACTTTCATTTATGAGAAAATATTTTAGCTCCTAAAACGAGTTTGAAAGCCAGCACCCTGGGTGATAGCTGCCATCCCTCCCAGCAATGAATTGGATGCATGTCTAGGCATGGCCTGGGGCTCTCTCTCCATCCCTGACCCTCCATGCGTCTTTCTGCTTTCACCTCCCGCCTTCTGGCCCTGGCCCAGCAGCCTCACCTCACCCTTGCTACAGTTTCGCACCTGGTGAAGCGGACCTCGCAGATGTTGCACATGTATGGCTTCTCCCCGGTGTGTGTCCTCATGTGCCGCGGTAGCTTCCCAGCCCCCATGATGACTTTGTGGCAGATGGGGCACTGCTGAGAGGCCTTGGGCTTCAGCTTGCGCTCCTCTACCAGCGGCCAGGGTGGGAAAAGGCTCCCCAGGTGGGTGGCACTCAGGAAGTTAAGATAGGCACCATAGTCGTTCTCTGCCTTGATGGGGCCCAGAGGCCCCCCGGGCAGGTCAGGGAACATGTCCTTGAAGAAGTCGCTAGGGAAGGGTGGGGGTGGGGGTGGGGGCAGTTCCTCCTTCTCCTCTTCCTTGATCTTCCGGTTCTTGATGACCAGATCCAGTGGCCCACTGTCAATCGGCTGCTCAGGTAGCTGGGCAAAGGCACCAAAGTCCCCTGGCCATAGGTGTGGGAAGAAGTCTGGGGCAAATGGAGACAAGGAGGGTCTCCTGTCGGGGATGGTGGCTTTGGGATACAAGTTCTCCCTCAGCAGAGACTCAATGGAGAAATCCCGGATCACACCTAGATGGCCAGGGCTGCCAGCTTGGAAAGAATCAGGGAAGTCTCTGGGTGTGTCTGAGTAGGCCTTCTCTGTGAGATGGTCCGTCTTGGAGGGGCTTTGGTGGCAGTTGATGTCCTGGGGGTCGGGCAAGTTTTCTTGGTCCCCAAAGTCCTCTGTGTCATCATCCTCCTCCTCTTCCTCCTCTTCCTCTTCCTCCTCCTCATCCTCCTCATCCTCCTCATCGTCCTCATCTTCCTCCTTGTCATCTTCCTCGCCTCCATCACCACCGGGCTCCATGATCTCAAGGCACACATTCACGATGCACTGGATCTCCAGCATCCTGGCAGCATTGAGGATGTGCTTGACATTGGAGGCAGTGATGGTGAGAGTGGAGGTGTAGGCGAACTCCAAGATGGCAGCCAGGGCCTCAGGCTGCACGAAGTCGATCTCATAGACGTAGGGCTGGCTGGCCAGGCTGCCCGCTGTGAAGAGCTTCTTGAAGTACTTGCTGCAGGCAGCCAGGACAGAACGATGCGTGCGGTACTCCTGCTCCTGCACCACCAGGAGCACGTCGCAGAGCAGCCCTGCGTGCCGCTGCTCGTTGAGGCTGCACAGCACCTCACTGCTGTGGTTGGGGAAAGGAATGCCGATGAGCTCATCAATGCCATGGGCCATGTTCTCAGCCAGAGCCCTGTAAGGACACACAGAAAGGCCCAGTGTGGTTAGCAGCACGGCCTAGGAGGGGAATCGGCTCCGGGACCCAGGGCTACTTGCCTGCCTGCCCTCCTACTGTGTTTAAGGAGTTCTCTGCCGCTAGAAAGCTGGCTCTCCCACCTCTCATCTTTGCCAAGCCTCACCTGAAACTCACAGCCTAACACAAGCCGAGGCTGTCCTCTGCACCCTGGGAAGCTGGGAGTTGGTGTCTCACTGGACAGCTGTAGAAGCCTCCTGCTCACGGTTCACTAAATTCCACTTTTTCAACGTGGAATTGCAGAAAACAGGACGGAGAGCCACACGACACTCAGCTGTTCTGTCACCTCTGGCTATAGTGCCCACCTTTTACACAAGCACCACGTGCTACTTCTGCTGAGCATTTGTGCTCATCTCTCTCCCGGGTCCTCAGACTTTGTAGCAGGTTCCCATTTTGTGCTGGCTACCAGGAAGCTTGAAGTCCATTTTGTGGCCCACGTTTTTGCAAATGCATGGGGATTTGGTGTGATGTTTTGGTTCCTAAACTTATTCCTGACGGAATTTCTTTTTATTCACAATTCTTGCTTTTTGTCGTTTAATACACTCTATCGGTGTGCTCTATGTATATCTGTTAGCCATTTCACTTACAAACAGACAGTGCAATCAATCTAATGCAAGTGTACTTTTAATTAATTCATCACGGCTGTACTCTGTTAGCCTCACGGACGTGTCAGGCTCTGTGTGTAGAGACTCACCCGCATCACTTTGTCATTCTGGATGGCCCCAGACCTAAGATAGTTGGGCACCATTTTTCAACTTTATGATGCTGTGCAAGTGAACCCAACAACCATTCTGCTTTTCTATTTCAGTACAGCAGTCAATAAATTACATGAGTTATTCAACACTTGATTATAAAACAGGCTTTGTGTCAGGTGACTTTGTCCAATGAGAGGCTAATGCTAAGCACTCCAAGCATGTTTAAGGTGAGGTAGGCTGAGCTGAGCTATTAGGTAGCTCAGGGGTAGAAAATGCATGTTTTCCTAACATTCTCTACTATGGTGAATTTTGGAGGATGTGGCCCCATCACTGTTGAGGAACACCTGTGTGCGCTGTGGCTACCAGCAAAGAGTAGAACAGGGCGCAGGTGACTGGCACCCCTTCATTAGGGAAGCACAAGTGCCAGACTGTTAGCATTTTCAACCTGGAAAAAAATTGGTTTTTGCGAAGGCATGCAGGGCCCCTCTACTGCTGGCAAAGCCAGAACATGGCCATGTTCAGACCATCTGAGCAAAGGCCTGGCCCTTATCTTGGTCCAATTAAAATGAGGAGAAAAGTAAAAGAAATAACAGTACAACCTTGGAGCCCCACGTTCCAGTGAGAAATTACCTTCACGCATTTATCTCCTGGGAGTTCCAGCCCTGGGAAGGCAGAAGTAGGGGATGGGAGAAGTGACACGTGCAGACCATAATGTGAAAGCACCAGGGAGCCACCACCAGGCACTCGTGGTGCTGGGCATCTCTTGGCTTCCCTAGCTTCTTCTCTGTCCTGGAGCAGCTTCCCTCGGCAGCCCCAACTGACCAGGTGCTCAAAAGGCTACCCCACCTGCTCGTCAAGGGCAAAGACCCCCATGGGCCGGGTCTTTGCTTCCTCACCATAGCCAGTGGGTTTTTCCCTTCCATCAGGCACTAGAAGAAACCAACAAGGCCCCTGCTCTGCCAGCCCTCCTGTAACTACAATAGCTGTGATAGAAACAGGTCTCATCCAAGAGACAGCTTGCTTTAAAAAGTGTTCAACATCGTTAACCACTGCAGAAATGCAACTTAAAGTCATAATGAGATATCAGTACATACCTATTAGAGTGCTAAAATATAAAATAGTCATAAGACCCAATGTGGGTGAGGACGTGGAGAAAATGGATATCTTGTCTGTTGTTGGTGGAAATGTAAAACAGTACAGCCACTCTGGAAAATGTATGGAAGTTCCTTAAAAACTGTGATTGCATTCTTGAACATTTACCTCAGGGAACTAAAAAACTGTGTCTCCACAATAACCTCTGCCCAAATATTCATGGCCATTTTATGCATAATAATAAAAAACCAGCTTCAACTCCTGCCTCTGGCAGCACAGGTCCCTAGAATGGCTGGCACTCTCTGCTACGGCTGAGTGAGAAGCCTGAAAGGCGGGCACTCAGAGGGGCCCAGGCATGCCTTTGTGTCACAGGATGGGCAGGACTGAGGTGAGCAAGTGGTGACGCTTGCTGGCTGCTCCTCGTGCAGCCTTCCCTGCTTTGTGGCAGTGGCCCCTTTCTGGTGGTTTTGGCAAAGCTCTGTCAGCAGAAGGGAAAGGAGGGAAAAAAGGGGAGCTGATACTCACTCAGGCTTTCCCATCCCATTTTGACAGACCTGTGAGCTGCATGAATTGTGCGGGGCATGTGGCTATAACCTTCCTCTCCAGTGAGCCCCAAATGTACCCCTGCACCTCCTATTCTCAATCCCCAAACATAAATAGAGTTCTCAGCCTCCAAACCTCTGCTCATGCTGAGATCTTGTGGGAAAACGTCTAACATCACTCATCTGCAGTGGTCCACACCCCACTACACTCCAGCCTCACCCAAATGCTCCCTTCTCCACCCCTCAGTTCAGATGCCAGCCCTCTCCAGCCCTTGGTGTAGACACCTGATGAGCCCAGTTGTTTATTGTATTTGACTCCCTCTTGTACTATAACTACTGATAGTTAGGGCTGGTATCTCTGCTAGATAGTAAGCTGCTTGACAGCAGATGCTACTATCAGTACCATTCGATGCTTGGCACAGTCCTGGCACGTATTTGGTGAAGGTCTATAGCAAGGGCTGTTCTAGTAATTAGTGCTGAAATTGATGTTTTACAGGTTGTTTGCTATACAAAGGCACCTCATCCATGGGGTTGTAGTGGCAGCTTCAAAAATATTGTCAGTGATTTCTGCCTCTTGGTGGTGGATTTTATGTCGCTGTGTGCTCCCCTTCACATAGAGGGTGACGGATAGGATCTGTGGGAGTGATAACAAGTTACCTCTAGGGGGTGTCATGAAGGACATGACTGCTTCAGCTTTGCTTTCTCTTGATCACTCATTCTGGGGAGCAAGGGGCCACAGAGGAGGATGCTCAGGCCAGGAGAGGGCCATGTGGCACGAGATTGGGGTCTCCTGCAACAACAGCACCCCCTTGGCTCCTGTGGGAGTGGTTCCTCTGACTCATCAGACCTTACACTCATGGCACCGCCCAGTGACACCTTGACGAGAGAAGTGGGACTGCTCAGTTCAGCTTTCCCTATATTTCTGACCCACAGAAGCTGTGAGTTGATAAATGCTTATTCTTACTTTAAGTCACAAAGTTTCAGCATTGTCTGTTATGCAGAAACAGATGACTGATGCAGGGGAGCTTTTCATTTCATAGACATTGTAGACTTGTGATATTCATGATGATAGTTTTCAGCAGTTAAATGTCAGTCTAACAAAATCGGCATATTACGGAAGTGCTCTGGTAGATTACAAAAAATTTACTGAGGAAGTAATAATACCTTTTCTTAATTTCCCCAAAACCATCCTCAGGGTAGTGCAAGTCCTGACCTTCAGAGGGGCCTTGTCCTCTGAAAAGACAATGAATGAAACACCCCTTCCACTGTTGGATAGAAATCCAAGGTTAGTGAAACCGCAGGAAATTGGTCTGCGTGGAAAGCAAATTTCCTTGCTTGCTAAGGTCTTATTCTTTTAACGATGCTATTGCTTTCTAATAGTTTTTAGGGAAAATTCCAGTCATTGCTTAAGCTTTCCTGGCAATCTTAAATAGAGGAGCCAGGCCCCTCCTGACTATGGGTTGGTGTTCCGCGTCTCCATGTGTGTGGTGACCGTGTCCGAACCCACTGAGGAGTGGAAAGGAGTTGCCCTAAGCTGAGTGCCCCATCTCCTGAGCTTCAAGGAAATGTGCGCTTGGGATCCAGAGTCAGGGAACCAGAGTGGTGTAATTTTATTAGGCCCCTCCACCTTTTTGGGCTTCTGCTTTCGTTGCATGTTACTGGGTGTCATGAGAAATCTGGTAACACACATCATGACCATGGCAGATTGAGGAGGGGCAACAGGTCCTGCCCAGTGACCTTGGACTTAAAGGCTGGTCTGCCCAGCCATGACTTCTGACTGTGTCTTGGTTTGTGGTCTTTGTTCCATTCCTGGAGGAACGGATGTAACCATGGTAGCTCGAGGTTGTTTTTCCAGGCAGGACACTTACCCAGGGGTGGGGGCTGGGACGGGTGAGCTGTGGTCAGGAGGTGGGCGGGGGCTGCCACAAGCTGCTTCATTGTCTCTCTGGGAAGAAGCACCTACGCCCTGCACTCTGGGAGCTTCCCTGGTCACCCAAAGATTCCCATGCCCTGGTGAACCAGCACGCACAGTGTCCCAGAAGAGATGCCATGTCCCTCCCCCATCCTCCTGCCCAAGACTTCCATCCCTTTCTCTCCCATTGACTAAGCCAGGGCAGTCTCTCTCCAAGAATAACAGGCACAGGGAGAAAAACTAAACACACACACACACACACACACACACACACACACTCCAAAATTAAAAAAAAAAAAAAACTCTCAAAGGCTTGCTGCAAAATAAAAATCTCTGGTAGGAAGATAGAAAAAAAAAAAAAAATATATATATATATATATGGATATACCTCAACAGCACAGTTCCTGCCTGGCAAGTGTGAGGCCCTGAGTTTGATTCCTGGTACCAAAATCATAAAAAATAAAATAAAGGGCCAGGGTGATAGCTCAATGTAATAATGTTTGCCTGGCAAGCACAAGCTCCTGAGTTTGGTCCCTGGTACTGCAAAATAATAATAGGGGCTGGGGAGATAGCTCAGTAGAATAAGTGCTTGCCTGGCAAGCGCAAGGGGCTGAGTTCAATCCTTGGTTCCATCAAATAAATAAATAAATAAATAAATAAATAAATAAATGGGGTAAAAAGGAAAGAACAGAAAACATG